TGGGGCTCTTTAGCCTGGAGAAGAGAAGATGAGGGCAGACCTTATCGACACTTATAAATATCTAAAGGGTGGGTGTCAAGAGGATAAGGCCAGGCTCTTTCCAGTGGTGCCTGGTGACAGGACAGGGGGCAATGGGCACAAACTGGAGCACAGGAAGTTCCGCCTCAACATGAGGAAAAACTTCTTTACTCTGAGGGGGACAGAGCACTGGAACAGGCTGCCCAGGGAGTTTGTGGAGTCTCCTTCCCCGGAGGTATTCAAAACCCGCCTGGATGCAGTCCTGTGTAACCTGCTCTAGGCAAACCTGCTTTAGCAGGGGGTTGGACTAGATGATCTCCAGAGGTCCCTCCCAAGCCCTACCATTCTGTGATTCTGTAAAACGTTTAAGAACAACAACAACAAAAATTGTTTGGTGCTTCATGTTTACTTATTTGAAAAGGAAAAGAACCACATGACATTGCATTCCAGGATAGAAAGTAATTTCCCAAATGAAGCAGGTGAACTGCTATGAGTAGAAAGAACATTCAGGATTTTAAATTGTGAGTCAACTGTGGATGAGAAGACTAGAGCAACGTGGACGGCAAGAAAGAGAAAAGGCTGTGCTCAACGTTAGCGCTTGGAAGTGCTTGGCTGCCTTTGCAGCATGAGTTTGAGCATCACTTGCTAGTCACTTTTGCCAAATTCTCCCAAGTGCAGCAGCTGGTTTTAAATGGCCTATTTACTTCTCCATCACGGACACTAAGAGGCACAGGTATTACAGCACCACCACTGAAAGGGATGGTCAACTCCCACCTGCTCCCAGCAACACATTCCTCTGGTGCTCATTTGGGCACCAATACACCAGCTTGCCTTCTTTTTTTCAATGGGTTTGTTTTTCTCCAGCAAGTTGAGCTGGATCAACTCATGAAAGGAGCAAAAAAGCTGCAGCAGAAGCAAAGACAGGAACTGGCTGGTAGTGTGTACTGTTGGACTGACTCAGCCCATCTGGTCTCACCACACTGTAGGGGCAGTTTCACACCATCAGAGCTCATGTAAGTGTGAGCCCAAGAAGAAGGTATGGCTTGCCCTTTTTTCCTACCTTATTTCTGCTTTCTCCCTGCCTTCATTTCTGGCCATGTCATCCCACATTTTCCACTGTTTATTGGATTCTTCCACAAGCATATTCAACCAATTAACTCGCCAAAAAGCACACAGGTTTGGTTTTCTTGCAATAGTAATAAGTAAAACTGACTCCCAGGGAGATCTGCAAAGCACAAGAGTCAGCCCAAAGGAAGCACATGCTCAGGAGTGAGTTTTTATGTTACTTTTGTGAAGTTACAGCTGGGTTCTGAGTCCAGGTGATTTCACTCTGCTCCAAAGAGATTGCCAGCTAGCTTAACCTTTGCACTGTGAACCTGAGCACCTAATAAAAGAAGATGCTACAACATGCCCAGAACTTCTCTCCTGACTTTTACAAATGCTTGAAATTCTTAATCATCTGAATGCAGAGATTTGTTTGCCCATGAAGGGAGTAGCCCTACACACAGCACATGGTAATACTATGAGGACTTAGAAAGACACGCAGGGTCCACTCACCCTCATCTTCATCATCTGCTGTTGCTGTCACAACAGGACTTCTAACATCCCTGTCCTCATCTATGCTGACCTCATACACTGACCGAGGAAAGGCTGGAGCGTTGTCATTCACATCACTGACAAAAATCCTTACGTAGGCTGTGTCTAAGAAGGAGATACAAGAGGAACATGCAGACTAGAAATGGCAGAGGTGGAATACCTTGTCATATTCCAGACAGCTCACATACCCCCCAAGTACAGAAAAGTTAAGGAACCCAATCTCTGCTATCTTTTACCCAATACATAATTCCTTACTAGTTTTACCTGTGTTGGGCTGCCCATGAACACCCGGTCTAGCAGATTCTGAAGAGTCCTGAGACTGAACTTCAATCAAGTAAGAGGCTCTTTTCTCTCTGTCAAAAGATGCATGGGTGGAGATAACTCCTGTATCAGGCTCAATGGTGAAGAACTGGTAATCCTCACTAGCATCTTTCAATATTAAGTAGTGAACCTAAAAAGGAAACAGTTAAGAGAGGTTGCATTTTCCACTTTCATTTGTATGTCCGAGTGCTGTGACCTCCCATTCCACAATAGCCTCCTGTGTCTGTCTGCAAAGTAGCAACACTCTGCAGAAAGACAGTTCATCTGGGCATAATTTTTCTAAGTCTTCTGCCCATTTTGATATAAACCCCCCAGAATTCTCAAACAGAAGAACATCTGTACCAGTGATATCAAGGCCCATCAAGCCCAGTATCTAATCTCCAACAGTGGCCAGCAGGAGCAGTTAAGAAAGATCACGAATAAAAGGACAGAGAACGTATGGAATGACATCTTCCCTGGTGTCTCGAGAGCTTCTAGCAATCTACTGTGCTTCTGATCTCAAAAAAAATGGGGCTGAGAGTTTGGGTCCTGTTCAACAGGGCTGAACAAAAGAAAACCTCCACTGATGAATGCTATTCCCATTTTTCCTATTAACAAAGGTTTGGCTTCCTCCTCTGAAAAAAAGTGTTTCCACCCCCACCCCCAAGTCATGCCCAGAGCACCACCAGGCAGTTCTACCACATAGGTTGCTCTTCAGAAGTTGCAAAATGACGGTTACAGTTCAGCAGATCTCTACCAGCCAGAGTTCCTCCCAGAAGAGCTAGTAGGATTTTTGGAAAAGGCTCAGGAAAATGCAGAGAAAATGAGCAGTTTCCTTCATAACACTGCTTTTTCCTAGGGTTGGGTCATTATGACAATGACTGTCAAATGTTGGTTGACCGACGATGGCAAAATTAAATGTTATTTAATTGACCATATTTAAATGTCTGTATTTAACTGACCATAATCACTGATGATCAATTAAACAATGAGCTGAAGAGGCAAGAGTTTAGAAACATGTTCTGCAGCCACCTGCACTTGTCTTGTCATGGGATAAACCCTGAGAATCACACAGCAGTGCTTTGTCGCGGTTACTGGATCAGGATGAGCTGCTATGATGCAGGATCCCAAGACAGTGAACAGCATCTTCTCTGCCTGCATTCCATATTACGCACATCAGGCATATGCTAGACAAATGCTTGACAAGTGCTGTAAGAAGTGTTTGTGGCTCATTACCCTGTCATCTGGTATCGGTGCGCTCTCACTAATTACAATACTAAAACTTGCCTATTGGGAGGAAAAGAATTGGATGTAAGGTCAAACCTCTCCATGTAGGCCAGAATCCAAGTCTGTAGCTAACACCTGAACCACAGATGTGCCAACATCAGCTCCTTCTGGCACAGACACCTCGTAGTTAGAAGACACGAAGAACGGAACATTATCATTGACATCTGTAAAAGGAGGTGATGGGGACCATAGTAAGAAAATGTTTAAAGAATTTCTTTTACTGTATCTTTTTCCACAGTCGTAATTTTGCTTGGAGAAAGAACTCACATTTTTCACAGTAAGAAGCAATCCTGCTTTGCATCTTCCCTTTTTCATGGCAGCTGCCAGGAGGCATTTTATAAACATTGAGCAGCTTCTGGGAGACAGTGGCCTAAGCTCAGCTAAGACATTAACTAAAGATTTGACAGGCCATCTTCTTAGAGTAAGTCCATGCATGCCAGGACCAGGTGGCCTTTCATCCACAGCCAGCAAACGGCTGGTATCTCCAACAGTAGTTAATTTCAGCATTTTATTAAGGGATGATTAACATAAAATGGAAATTTAAACTGCAAAGTCTATAGAGTTGACAAAGGAGGTGTGTAAAACAGTCTTTCCTGGCCTTTGCAGGGCAGTATAGCCAGAGCCACGTTAGGCTGTAGGACCTAATGACTATTTAGGATGCAGTTGCACATTAGCCTCCCCTCACCTAACTACTGGCCAATGCCCAAAGGAAGCATGCTGACCTTCCCACTCCTGTCATGCTGCTCTAAGCCATGGGATCCCTCTCCCCACAAGCTGGATCATGTGGTCCCATGCTGATAGTGCTCATTTTGTTGCTCTGAGAGAGACTGACCTTCTGGAGAAAAAAGGGCTAGCTGTGATCTGACACACTCTGCAGCTGTGTACTCGCCAGATCCAATGCAAGGGACATGGTGAGACTGTGCAGGTGAAGGAAAGCAAGGGCTGCCCCAGTAGCAGCCGTCTGCAGTCAGGTCAGATTAGGCACAAGGAAAAGCCACATTAAGCTTACATCAGTGCTGGTCTTGCTTGTCTTCCTTGCCTGACTCCTGTAGAAACCTAAACTGGAAAATGTATGTCTAGTGCATTGAAGGGACAGTTTCTGACACATTTTCTCCCTAAAACTGCTGTGTGGGACCAGATGAGCACAAGGGACAGACAGGAGTACTATGGCAGTACTGACTCAGAGCCATTTAACTGCTCTGGAATCACATCCTCCTGCTCAACCCATGACAAAGTTCACTTTGTCTGTAAGACAACTAAACTCAGAAATGCTGCACAGTCCCCTACATCGTTTTGCACTTTTCACAATTTAACAGCCCCATTTTAAGAAAGTAATTTTCCTGTTTCATGGCACAGTACCAAAACAGAGGAGCTGTAACGACAGTTCCTTGGATCCATCTGTTTATGAAGAGCAGACAAAATGCTTAACATCTCATTCTGCAAACTTTTAAGCACACATTTAATTTTACTACAGCCACATGACTTCATTGATTCTGACACACAAGAATTTGCAGGACCAACATCTTCAATTACTTTTTTAAGTTGTCGGTGTGGGCTCCCATAAATCCCAATTTTCTTTCTCTCTTACATGCGTGATCGTCTGTGAAAACTTCTCCTCTAACAGGCTTTTTATTTCATATTTTATAGAAGAGAGTATGTCTTGTTAGAGATAAGTTTCAGCAAATTCACTGAGCAAGGTAAGGAAAATACAATGCTATAAAAGACTTCCTTTTCTGTGTGCTTGTGCATAAATAATGGACAATTCTGCATATGAGACTTTCTCTCTTAAAGGTGTTTATTTCTCTCTTAAAGGTCTTTAATGTGCTTTTTTCTCCCACTAATGCAATCAGATGTGTGTAAACCTTTTTTTTTTTTTTGTATGAAATACTAAGTTATTGAAAAAGGATTTTTGCTTCTGAGCAAAATGAAGTTTCTGCAAGATTCTGATACCAATAACTGCACTACAGGAAAAATCTTTTCAGACAGGGTCCATAATCTACAATGCTGCTCAGACCCTGACTAGAAGCAGCCTTGCACTACAAATCTGAAGGGTTTTTGAATTGGTGGACTGTGGAAGACAGGACAATGCTGTGATAAAGTGAAGCAGGGAAGTTGGATTCCCATTCAAATTACCACTTAGGTCTCTCATTTCCATGGTGGAGAGTGAGAGCGAGACAAATGTTTTTGGTGGAGACTTCATTTATTCATTTATTTATGGTTTAATGTGGATCTACAGGAGTGGAGCCTTATAAAAAGAACCTACTATAAGAGGGTTGGATCAAATTTTTGAAAATTGCACCTGTTGTATTTTGCACCCTTGCATTTTTATTTCTAGAGTTTTAATCTCACTGTTCAATAGAAAATTCTGAATATAACAAAAACCCCTAAACAGCTATCAAACACAAACCCAACCTAGCTGGGCTGTTTCTCTTTCTGTAGCACAGAATATTTCCAGTAATACACATCTCCTTTCTATAGCTTGGGGACATTTACTAGATTTCTCCTCCTATCAAAAGAAAATCTTTCCAATTACATTTATAAAAGCTGGGACTAGCGTTGCATGTACATTCAGACAGCCCATTTTTGCAGTATCACATTTCCACATTTGATAGCTGTACTTAGAAGTTGTCTCAAATACAGCTTTTTAATGACTGCACGACTTCCTTTTACAGTATAGAAACATACAAAGCATTCTTGGGTGGCTTGGCATTGCATGGATGTTACCTTAATTTGTGGTGTTACACTAGAAATAACAAGAATATTGTTCTGAATGAGCTGTTCTTACAGCAGCAAAGCTTACCTGTTACATTCACACAAACAGTGGTAAAGGAAGCTAAAGGAGTCATCGCTACATTTTGTGCCCGGACTGTCAGGGTGAAAAACTTGGTTGTCTCAAAGTCAAGTGGTTCAGCGACTAGAAGAGAAGCAGATCCATCAGCTCTGTTTGGCTTCAGATAGAAACGGACTGGCATGTTAGTCTCTGGAACTTGACCCTCCTCCAGATTATATGTAACTCTGGGATCACCAAGAGGGGATGTGGCTTTGATGGTCTGAAGAAGAAAAGAGCCACCATGTAAGTTCAGGAAGCATGGGGTTGCAAGCATTAAATGTTCAGTTTGATGTCAAGAACATACATGCATGTACATTCTCCAAAAACATACATGCCTGTATGACCTGGATAATGGGCAAAAAAGAAACAGTTTACAGAGATGATTTTAACTTTACAACATTTAGGTTTGATGCAGGTCTTTATTCAACAGTAAATTTACTGGCCTGTAAATGTGCCAAGCAAGAACTGCATCACCGGCTAAAGTAAATCCCTTCTCCCTCCTCCTTCCAAAAACAAAAGCAATCCAAAAGGAGACCGTTTCTCCACTGAGTTGTACATTTTACCAGCCAAGATACAGACAAAACCTAAATTGTTTGCAAGTGTTTGGATATTACACGCAGGAGGAGGAAGGCAGGAATTATCTGGCAATTTACGGAAAAGATTATCCTTGAAGAGTAAGTCTGTACAGGTTAAAAAGAAATTGGTTTGGGTTAGAAGAGCCCATTCCATGCTGTAGTGCTAAACTGGGAAAAGCTGTAGGAAAGATACAGGCAGGCAGCACAGTCCACTGAGGATGGAGGAGTGAGGAGCTGGCCCTTGGTGCGAACACTCAAGGATTTCTCACACAGGCAGGGCATGGGTCTTGCTTCTCATTAAAAGCCACTGCCCACGGGAGCACACCTTGAGGGCTGTTGGTGTAAGAAGTCACTGGGAATACTGCTGCCAGCTGAAATACCGGCCTATTCTGCAACAGGTACTCCTGACAAACACTAACGGGGTACACAGCTGTGAGGGCTGATAAGGAAACAGCACAGTGCAGTAAGGCTGCAGAGTGGGCATCCATGCACTCTTAACGTGGAGACAGAGCACAACAGAGGAAGAGTCGAAATAAGAGGGAGGGAAGTGATCGCATTTTTAACATACCACTATCTTGGTGTCACGAATGGTGTTTTCGGGGATGGTTACCCAGTATCTGCTTTGCTCCCACCGGGGCGGCTGGCTGAGCGCATTAGTGACAGTGACCGTCAGCTCCACGGTGCTGCTTCTGTTCCCGCCATCTCTCGCTACAATATAGCGACTAATGCGTGTTGTCTATGAAATGAAGATGATCGAGGATATTTGCAAACCATTTTGTACAGACCAGGAGATTGCAATTAACCCTCTGCAATGGCTGTGAGGGGTTGGAGGTTGCTCTGTTCCAAGCAGAGAGTCTCATTACCTGGGATAGCAGGAGGTTCACGTATACCCAGCCTGTGCTGGGGTTGATCTGGAAGTACTCCAGTTGGTGCTCTAACATTGAGTATGTGACAGCAGCATTCACACCTTGGTCGCTGTCATGAGCTGTAACACGGAGGAAACTCGTCCCCAACGGAGTGTCTTCCCTAAGGAAGTCTTTGAAAAGACAAAGGTATTGTCAGCAGGTCTTGCTCTGATTTATCAGGCTGTGTGTAACAGAAATCATAGAATGGTCTGGGTTGGAAGGAACCTCAAAGACCATCTAGTTCCACCCCTCCCTGCCATGGCAGGGACACCTCCCACTAGACCAGGTTGCTTAAGGCTCCATCTAATGTGGTCTTGAACACTTCCAGGGATGGAGCATCTACAGCTTCCTTAGGCAACCTGTTCCAGTGTCTCACCACCCTCAGGGTGAAGAACTTCTTCCTTATATCTAGTCTAAACCTGAAAAAAAAAAAACCCAAAAAACTCTTCATGTGAGATTAAATGTTTCTGTAATGAGGCAGGTTATAAAGTATTATCACTAACAGAGTGTCTACAGTCCTCTTTTAGCTTCCCCTTCCCTTTCCCCTGACACGCTGGGTTAAGCGAGCTGCTGGTGAAGCAGGCTTACTGACCACGCCGCGGCCAGCAGTCATGCCTCTGCACGGCAGCGCTGGCAAACCCCGCAGCTGCCCACCCACCGCTTCAGATCACAGCCCAGGCTGCTGGGCTCAGCTGCTGATAAAAGCAGCTTGGCACCAAAAGGAATTCTGTGTGAATGGAATTAAACCCGAATGCAAGCGGTGGCAGCAGCAGCATTGCCAGTGGGAGGCAGGGTAATCACAAAGCTGGAACACTCGGGTCATAGTGAAGATCCCTCCAACACCCCAGTGTTTTGGAGAAGCTGCCCAGGGCAAGGGTGCAATGAGCATTTTATACATCCCCCTATCCTTAGGTCTCACTCCCTTGTTCCCAGCAATCCACCTGAGACAGAGGCTACATGTTTGTGTCCATAGTCCTAGACAGAAAAATCCTTCTTTGAACTTGCTTTTATAATCATCATCTAAAAATCTGGTGGCAGAGTCGCACAGCTGAAGTACCCATTGCACAGAAAAGTAATTAATTTTGTCTTCCTAAAGCCTGATTCCTGGCAGGGACACCAACAAAATTATGAGAAATCATGAGTGGTCATTTCCTACTCCCCTCCTCTCTGCAAGGCATAATTTTATATAAAGCTATTGCATCCCTGCCAGCTGCCTCTCCTCCACACCCCTGTCTTTAGATTGCTCTGATCTGACTTTGCTCCTGCTCTTCCCTCCATCCTCAACCATCCAGCCTGAATTCCTCTTTCAAGTAGCTGTGCGTGCTCGCCCCATTGGGTTTTTGAGCCATTTCCATGCACTAAGGCTCCAGCAGCTCAGTCTATTGAAACAGCCCTGGGAGCAGGAAGGCTGTCGCAGTTAGGTTTAGACAACGCAGTCAGTCTAGTTAATCACTTCTTGTTCAGAAACTGTTTCATATCTTTGATCTCCCTTGTATCTGTCTCCTTTAGCTTTTTTGAGGTGGGACAACCAGATTTGCATATTATGTATAAAGTGGAGTGGCTGTGTTTTCTCTTTTGGTTTTCTTCTTTAATATCTGCAGTCTGTGGCAGCGGTGCAGTAAAACCTTGAACTGCCACAACTGTTTGCTCTGCGAACACAAATTTGAGCTTTAATTAGCTTTCCTTGTCCACCAGCACATTTAATAGGCCTAGGATTCATGTCCCTGGTATGTCACTAACAGCCAAAGCTGCTCTCAGAAGAGATTTACTGCCACTAAAATAGATTAATGAAAATGGAATTTATTGCTAAGAAACACTGTAAAAATATCCTTTTGTGTGTTTGAATTTATGCCTTTACAGTCAAATCCTGTTAAATTGCATTGTAAGAAAAAAAATACAAAATTACTTGGAAGGGCCATACTTTCTTATTTCATGTACTTCTGCTTGCTGTTGGCATAACTCTAACACTTACTATACCATCCCTACTGCATAGAGTTCTTTCATGTCTGTTTTGCAGGCAGATGATAAGATGCGTGGCTTAAATTACGGATTTGACCAACATCCTAGTGCAGAGCAATAAAGAACCAGAAGTTTCCAGGAAGAATAGAAACATATGACTAACAGCATTTGATCTTGTTAGAGAAGCTATTTTTAATTCTATGACGTGCAAACATTGATTACTTATGTATAGACGCTGGAAAAGTGCTATGCATAAAGCGACCTCATTATCTGCTGCTTCCCCATCTCAAAGGACTGCCTTTGCTTCAGGACCTTTGCTGGTTCTCCATGTTCATGAAAAAAAGAAGAAAATCTGCCCATTCTTCAGAAGTGCTGAAGTCACCATAATTATCAAATGCAACCTCTCAGCTTCACTACCTTTGTAAAAAATAATCTCAGGCAGTTTTACCAGAAGGACATGTTTGAAAGTAGAGTAGAAAGGTTCATAGGTTCATCTTTGCGCCAGCATTACTTTTACCTCAAGGACTCTGTCCGAAAATATTTCTCTCCAGTGAGATCACTCCCACCTGACTTCTCAGCACTGCTTTGGCCAGGTTTGCAGAAACTGCTGGTAGGAACGAACAAATGGCTATTCCCAATCTGCACATTTTAACCAATTTGGCACTCGGAGTTAGTCACTGTAAGATGCTCTAAAAGGTGCAATACAATTTTCTTTCTGTCCTTGTGAGTAATTCAGAAGCGTGGATGTATATTTAGACTATTTCCTACCAGGACAATTCTCTTTGTTAAAATCCTACCATGCAAGCATCCAAACTCTTTTTGTATCCTGCTAAAGCGCTGGCCCCTGTGATGCTAAAGATGACTTACGAGCCATCTTCAGTTTAAAAAGGTATTGGTCACTGCTTTGTCCTACATGACGTTTCCATAGAAGTGGCAAAACATCTCCAAAATGGAGTTGTTGTCACATGCATCATCAACCATTTTCAGGCAATTATGCAAGGAAGGGCCTGTTCTAGTCCAGCAACCAGGGAGTACACTTGTGACTTGTGGGTGGCATCAAGTGCAGAGGGTCCAAGTGTACTGAAATGCAGAATTTTACTGGAGGAGCATCAAGTAAAATTAAATGGACAGATGAAAACCACGTCACATGGGGATGAAAAAGGGAATGGCACCAGGGCAAACAAGAAAGCCTATCTCAGCAGCACAGTTACAGAAGGCATCAGGGCTCATGGCCAATTGTAGGCTAGAAGCCAAGGATTTTGGGCTGTTTGACAAGAGATAAATACCACTCCAGCCTATTCAAACAGAGGTTCTGTGTCAAAGATACACAGATGACAATTGCTCTTCTAGTCAGGGCTGATGAGTTCTCAGCTAGGATGTCATGTTGTGTTTTAGGACACTAAATAAAAATTCAGTGTGCAGAAAAACTAGGCAGTGAAATGCTGCAAAGGGAAGGGATCAGATCTGCTTGATCTGTAGGAGCGAAGACTGTCAATGTTTTTAGCGCATTGCAATGAATAGAGGACATTGATTAACTCTGCATATTTCCACTGACGAGGGATTAAGTAGTAACTGGCTTAGCTGGCAGCAAAGGAAGACTGGTCACCTAAAAACCTGACCACTGTTATAAGGAACTACTAAACAGGTTCATGTTGCAGTACTGCACAGGTAGTTAAGAAACACTCACACTGATAGCGACTGTTCTCAAACTTGGGATCGTTGTCATTGACGTCAGCAATAAGGATGGTGATCTGACACACGCCGATCAGCGGTTCCTGGGCCTGGTCGGTGGCAGTGACAGACAGTGTATACTCCCTCTGCTGCTCCCGGTCAAAACTCTGGGTGGTTGTGACGACTCCTGGGAACACAGACACCTCCTGTTCTGTGCATCATGGCCTTGGGACTGAGTTTGCAGAAAGGTACCAGCCTATCTCCCACACTAGAGGAAGGTCTGACTGCATGCAGCGTACCCGTCAAGTTTAACCCACACCAACTCTGCAATACATGTCTTGGACAGGACTGACTCCAATTCCCCTGTCTCTCCTCTCCTCACATGCCACATACTGCCAGGGGTCAACAGCTTTCTCTCCTGCTGCCCTGGTAAGGAGCTTCAGTCTGAGTACCTTATTATCTCACTCCTCATGGAGCACAGGACTTTCTTCTCCTCATTGAGAGGCATCTCTCAGGTTTACTCCAGTGATAGTCCAAGTAACTGAGTATTTCAAAGATGGCTCATTGTTACTCTGGGGAAGAGTCACACCACAGAAGGCACAAGTGATGTGACCAAAGTCATCTCTACTACGGGAGCTGGAGGCTGCTTCATTCAACAGATTAAAATAGGGTAGAATCACATAGCTCAGTTAATAAATTGAACAACTTTCTCCCAGTATACAGCTTTTCCTCTCCACCAACCAGGTCTCTCCCTGTCTCAGATCTTTTCTTCTGTTTGAGAGCTGTTAAACTGGCCTCTGGAGGCCACTTCCAGACTCATGTCTCTACTACAGTAGGGGCCAGGACTCCGCTGCTCTGTTGTTGGTCCTTCCAGTCTCCTGCGCAGTCCTGAACACGCAAATATCACATTTTACTGTTTTGACTACAGAAACATCAACTTTTATAACTCCTTCACTTGAAATACATCAAGACTGTCTGCCACTGCCCTGTTCTGGTATGAGGGTTTTGCCTCTACACACACTGCACTGGACCTCCTATTTGTGCCATGCTGTGGCCACGCTGAAAGGAAGAACAAACTCAAGCTGTTAAAGAGTCACACCTTCTGCTCTGCATTTTTATAGCTACACTTGATCCAACAGGAAGATAACTGATACAGAATAGCTTTCTGCCTTCCTATATAACTGGGGTTTGTTGCCCTACTTAATGTGTCATTTAAACCACCATCATCTTAATTATGTGCATGGCTATCCACATACTCTGAATTTTTTTCAGTGTTTAGTCCACAAGCTGTCACAGCTAACCCTGCAGTTACACTGTTAAAGCATGAGCCCAGTTGGACACACCCATACAGTGGCATTCTCATTACAATACAACTCCATTTTCATTTTATCTCAGTAACATGAAAGCAACTGACCTGTGTCTGGGTCAATGCTGAAGCTTAGGGAAGCTCCGTCTCGGTGCATGAGCCCATACTTCACCTCCCCATTAACGCCGAGGTCTGCATCGTAGGCTTCTACCTGTAGCACATATGTGCCTGGAGGCTGGTTCTCCAGGACCCAGGTGCTGTCACTGTAGTAAGCGCACTAAAAATACATCCAAACATCCAATGCTACATATTACACAGAGCCACATGAATTTGCTGCACAATGTCAATATTTTTTCCAGCACGTCTGAGAAGAACTCAGAAGAAAATCACTTCTATTACTTATACTCACAAAGAAATCAAGCTCTAAGGGAGAGGAACGAAAAAAGGAGAATGAAGACTTTATAGTTTAAGTATGAAAAAACTTGGCTGAGTGCTCTCTTACAGATTCATTCTGCTTTGCACACACAGTACCTTCAGCCCACCGTCAATCATCAGTAGCCAAGAACATTCTATAACTCCAATTATGGTTGGGAAAAGAATGTCTGCAGAAAGACATCTTACCTCTCTGAAGACAGGCTTGTTGTTATTAATGTCGTTAACTCCTACAATAACCTCAGCAAAACTGCTGAGAGGGGTAGGTCCCCCCGAGGCATTGTCATCTATCGCAGTGATGTTCAGTGTGTACTGTGGCCCTTTCAGGTTGGGTGGTGGGTTTCTACGGAGTTTAATGATACCTAAATTTGGAAGCATAAAGTGTAATTTTATTTATTTACCATGTAAACAAACAAACAAAATCAAGTGAGCATCACATTTCTCTGCTGCTGTATTGGTGGTTTAGTTTGTAATTTGGTTGCAAAGCATAGGATTCAGTCATCTCAAGCCGCACAGTTCTGGGACCAGGACACCAAATTTTTGTTGATATTTGGAGAACAACCATCACATCAAAGAGCTAATTCTCATTTATACAAAGCACCCCCATTTGCAGATTATATAAATGTGGGGGATCTTAGCTGGACTGAGGCCCCTGAACAGGACGACTTTGACCTTGAGAGGATTCTGATCTACTCGTGAGAGAACAGACAAGAGTTGCAGCTGCAAGATAAGCAAGTCCTGAGAAAGTGTCGACTACAAGACAGGCGTACATGTCCTTTTGGCAGAAGAGATGAGTTATAATGAACTGTGCAAATAACAAATGATAAGATTGTATAACAATTCTGAACCAATTAGAATGAGACACATCTGCGAAAGCTAAGGGGAAAGAGAATATAAATGAACAGGCAATAAAGGCTATTGTACTACCAGGCTTTCAAAAAGATTTGTGTCTTGTCACTTTGTCCGTCTCAACTGTGACATATAAATATGGTGCTTTCTTACGGTTTTTGACACACAGGTGAAGAGGAGTCCATACACACTAGACAGTAAATAACAGTGCTCTAAATCCTCCTCCTTCCTTACCTTTCTGACTATCCATTTCAAAATTGCCCTCCTCATTGCCTCCCGTAATCAGATATAGCAGCCCATCTCCATCAGGGTCCTTTGCCCGAACAGTAGCCACTAAAGTGCTGGGACCAGCATCTTCTGAAAGGAAAGTTCTGTAACTGATGGACAAAAAGGAGCAACAGCAGTACATTCAGTATCAGAATAACCATCGCCATGTTAACCATCAGCCAAGGATTATAAATCCACTATGAATCTAATTTATTTTAAGCTTTGGGCATGCAATCATGAAATCTTTAATCAGTTTAAGACGAGACTTCAAGCATCTTTGTTTGCCATAGGGTCTGCATTTTCGGATTGTAATCCTGCATTTTTGGCATATGTAATTTCCAAGGATCTTTTGGAAGATATCAATATGCACCATACTACATCACACTGCAAACCAGGATCACTTATCTCCTAAAGATGAGAAACAGGACAATATCTGTCATGCAGTGTTTCTTATGTCTCTACCTACTAATTGAAAGCATCAGATACTACAGAGATTATGTAAACTAGGATATGATTTTGTAAATGAATGTATTTATGTTTTGTATGTAAAACGTATCCATACTTTAAGCATATGCAAAAAAAAAATTGTATTCATTCAGGAAAGGAAAGAAGGCATTTTAAACAAACAGGGCCTCATAAAATTAGCTTATAATACAATCTGCTGATGATAAAATTACTTTTTAATGTTTGCTAGCTACCATCTTTATCTGTCATATATTTCTACATGGATAATTCCACTGAGACCCAGAAGTCAATACAGTCAAAATCATTCCCTATAGTTAGGTCTTTTATTTATTCTGTTCTCTCTCTATAAATATAAAGTCAATATGCTGGTATCACAACTAGTGTTTTTTTTTTTTTTTTTTTGATACAATCTAGAAATGAAGGACCAACTCCTAAAGCCTTTCTTTATACAAATTACTCCTCAATTTCACTGGTACTTACAGCTGCACAAAACAACAAGTGACCGTTTAGCCAAGTGTTATTACGGTTACACGTACGAACAGCATCTGTAAAAAGCAAAGCAGGCATTCAAGCTGGCTTACACGGACTGGGAGAAGACAGGGGCCTCGTCATTCACATTGGCCATTCGAATACGCACAGACGCTGTCCCTGTCCGAGGGGGATGTCCTTTATCGACAGCTATCACCACAAATTCATACATATGGTTTGCTCGCTCAAAGTTCAGCCTCTGGTTCGAATTGATAACCCCGTGACGTGTGATGGAAAAATCAGTGCTCTGGATGAAGTAAGTGATCTCAGAGTTGGAGCCAGAGTCGCAGTCTGTTGCAAGCACTATTAGAGAACACATTTAACAGAACAGCATGCTGCAGAAGAGGTTTCGTTATGTTATCTCGTACCAAGTCAACGCTCATTTAATTTTTTTTTTTTTTTTTTTTTAAGACAGACATCACCTAAATCTGTTTTATCCATAAAAGCCTTATTTTTGTGGTAAGAGTCTGGGAACTCACCAGGAGGCTCGGAGTAAAAAATCAAAACAACTGTTCCCCTCCTCCAACCCAGCCTGAGTAAACGCAGTAAGGCAGGCTTGCAAGAGAGCCGTGATCCCAATACTCCACAACATGGTTTGTACAAATAGCAGTCAACACTGGTAATTACTGCACAATCGATATGCATGTTGCTAGAACATTATCAGTCATAAACTGTGTCCTCACTCTCTCTGGGGATGCCGTTCAAATTTAATTAGCTCCCAGCTATGTTATAGCTAAAGTACTTTTTAATTACCTGGCGCTTCAAGGTAAAAGAGTGATTAAACATTCCCCCCAGCAAGTGTTTATTCAGTATGTTGTGTGTCCCATCTGCTCAGAAGAAGCAAATCAGCAGAACAAAATGCTAGAGCTCACAATGTAGTATCAAAAGTGATTTTTAAGAGCAACAGCTCACCTCTAATTACCCTGCCATTTTTCTAGCCAAACAATGAGGCTTCAATTCATACCCACACTGGTATTAAAGAAACTCCTTATTCTACCAGGAAGACGCAGCCATCGCAGTAGCACACAGCCTTCTGGAAGTGGAACAGTGATTGCAGTGCAGACACCCTGGCAGACAGCTACAGCATCATCCAAAAATGAGATGAAGAAACAACTCATCACTACCAGAGTATTAATTCAAAATAGGAAAGGGGAAGAGAACGATTTCACCAAGTGCACTGAAACGCTGTGCTACTTAGTTGCAAAAAAACTCAACCACCTCTCCCTGTGGAAAGTTACTCATGTTGTTTTAAAAGGACATTTAGGGTGGCTGTAACATTCTGCTTAACAGCTCTTAAAATCCTGCTATGAATAAATGTTTGGGTGTGTTACAGACTACAAAAGCAAGGACCTTAGAGTTAATCACTCTCTTGCTGTACTGAAAGACAAAATATATTAAAAACGCAAGAAAGATTGAAATGAAAGTGATTTAAAACTATCAAATTTAGTAGTTTATTCTTTTTAGAAAGACATGCAGAAAGTGAAAAACATTTGATTTGAAAAGATCTGATTTAATCTACAGAGTCATTACCATTCACAAAAACATATTTTATGTGCTTAATGATCATACTTCTTTTTCTCCAGCTGTCTTCTGGCAAATAGGGAATGTTATGCTCACTTGTACATGACAAAAACATGCTTTATTTCCCAATAGCAACTGGGAATTCCATTCCTCTTCCATTTAATTTCATTCTGCAAACTGATTTGCATTGCAAAATATTTAGACAATCACACAGCAACCACAAGCAGGTCGGTTCTGGCTCTGCCCATGCTCTGAGCTAGCTCAGTTCAAGCTAACTCCAGCTCAAAGCCTAGCACGCTAGCACAAAGATGCCAGCTACAACTCTAAGCCTTGCTCTGCCGGCACAGTGGTACAGTTGAAGGAGTATGCTAACCCCTGCTGAGAGCATCCCTCCATGCTTTTCAGATCATAGCTTGTTTGCATCCAGACATCTTAAAGCACATGCAGTGAGCATAAATCTGCCTGTAATGACTAAGTAGACAGACTGATTCTGCTAGCATAGCATCAGCATTACAAATACGATTACAAGCCAGACTTCGAGTGTGTGAAAATAAAAATGGTTGATGACTAAAACCTACATTTACATCATCCACAGTTTTAACAAATGGTACATATCGCACTATCTTTTTGACTGCCATCGATAGCAACTCAGTCAGCCACAGAAGTCAAAGGCTGTCTCAAACTTGCATTTATTTTTGTTCGTGGGACATTCTGAGGTTGCAACATGCCACCCCTCAAGGAACTATAGCCCGGGTAAGAGCTGCATTTTTTTTTTCCCCTGAGATGATACTTGCTTTGGCAGTTAGAGTCAGTGGCGCAGTACTCATCCAGCACAGGTTACAAGTGACTGCACATAGAGCTTCCTCGCAGCCACTACCAACACTGCTCAGCCCTTCAGCTCCAAGTGAGTGTTCACCCACCTGTTTTCACTGACTGTCACTGTACTTATGCCTCACATTTCTTTTCTAAGAAGGCTCCTTCTCTCGAAATGTATCCTGTACGGCAAGACAATCAAATGGGATGCAATTGCACAGCTTTGTGGTCCTGCTGTTCTGCTTGCTTTGGACACGGGGCATACATTTTTTCCCCTCAACTGCGTGACTTTTGGTCAGCTTTACAAGTCTCCTGGAGAGAAGAGCATTCATCTCATCAAGGAAAATCACATGCTTTGGAATTTTAGGAGCTGATCATTCCAATCAATTTATTTCCTCCCAAGAGCCATTAAACCAAAAAATAAGCTAAAGCAAGCTCTGAACTCTCTTAGTAAGTGTTTGGGGAAAGCAGTCCCTGCAGCCCTCTTATCAGCATGTGGCTATGCAAGGGAAGCTAAGCCTCTTATCACCACAGTAACCCACACGCTTCAAATGCAGGAAATTTACATCGTTGTCTTCAATAGGCACATCTTACACATGCAAATTTTTGCTAAGTCTTGCCTTGGCACTTACCCATTTCTCACACAGTTCATAACCCCCTTAAGGTCTCAGCCTGTGTTCCCATTACTACCCCAGTACCTGCCCCTACTGTCAGTTTAAATACTGGCAGCGAGCCTGTAAGCCTTCTCCCAGTTTTAGGCAGAACACACCTGTGGCGTTTATCGCATCACGACAGACAACATCAGATCACAAGACATCTTTGAAAGCGTTTAACTGACACCAGTAAAACAGGTTGGAGAATGGACTTTTGTTCCTTGTCTGTTGGACTCCGAAGACTGAGACAAGAGGTGCAGCAGCATCCAAGTTCATTCCTTATTTGTGTAACCATAGTATTTCAAGAATGATCCTGAAGTTTTGGTTGGAACTTGGGGCTTAAAATTATTTCCAACAGCTCTGATCTTTAAACACGATCCTATCCTAGCCTCTAAAAATGTCATCTGTCCACTCAGGGTTTATGTGCAATTGATACGTGGCCACGTTAAACACAACAAACTTGGAATGATGAGTGGTAAGCCACAACCATAAATATAAAAGTTCACAGGCTTTCCAAAGGTTTCTCCTTTAATATCTTGTAAGTCAATTATACAGCATTAATACCTATTTGATAAAACTAGCCACCCATTGAAAAAAAAATTATTTTTTTTTTTTTAAAACATATTAAGAAAACAAAAACTAGATGCAGTGGCTTCTGGGACACAAAAAAAATGACCAAGCTGAGTTAAAAGACAGCTATAAGTTTTAAAGGAAACAAGCTACAGCAATCCACTAAGTCACTGCTTGTCAGCTGCCTTAACTGCTCCTGGGGTACCACAGGATCCCTCCTTGGGGACAGCACAGTGGTTCTCACCTGAAGACACTCACAACTCTACTTCCAGGGTACCTAAAAGCCACCTACAGACCTCCAGGAAAGCCACCATCTACATCTCACAAAAGCAGTACCCACTTTGAAAGAGACAGCGATTCCTCATGGTACGAACATGAACGTGTAACACAAAATAGCAGGTCTATGGCAAGACTGAAACAAGAGGCACCAGGCTGGTCCTCACCTTGCAGTAGAGATGTGCCAACAGGAATGGTTTCGGGAATGTTGTCTCTGCTGTAAATGGAGCGCTGGAATTCGGGAAAACAGTCATTTTCGTCGGTGATATGGACCATGACCTGAGACAAAAGGACATGCTGAGAGTGGATTTTAGTTTCTACCCTTAGGAAAATGGGCACCTTGTTCTGGACATCGTCTGGGCAGTCAGTGCCTTTGCTGCTGGTCCATCCTTACACCTCTGACGCTAAACTTTTTCTCACACTACTTCTGTAACATGGAGAAGTATTATCTCCTCCACTTCCAAGCAGATGGGAGGCAAAGCCAAAGAGGAATAACAAGAGGTATTTCACGGAGCCTAGATCTGAACCCAGCTCAGAGCCCAGCTTTCTGCCTCTACCATAACCTCTTGAGCACCTTCAGGAATTTTCTAGGCTATCCATATGCATAACCGGTCCCGCTAACGAGGTTAGCTGTATATTCAGAAAAGGAACTGCAGACAGTGGGTAGTAAGTGAAGTGATCCACATACCTCAGTCACGCTGCTAAGAGTGCTCTCAACTTCCATGGCTTTCAGTAAGAGGTGATAGAGGTGGTGCTCGCTCTCATAGTCCACGGGGTGGGTCAGGCTGAGCTCTCCGCTCTCCTGCCTCACCCTGAAGAGCCCGCTGGGGTTCGTCAGCAGAGTGTATGAAAGAGGCTGGCTCTGGAAAGAAACAGCCTCAACAACTGCTATTCTGTAAAGAATGAGAGAATAATGCTTTGCTTCAAAACAACAACAAAAGTTGTCTCCTGAGCACCTAGAAGAAGAATATGAGGATGAGGAAAGGTGAATTGCTCACTGTCAATGCTGGGCTCAGCTTTGTATTCAGACTGGAAATCCCTGTGCCCACCTACCCTTTCTTTTCTCACCAAAATGATCCCCTGACATAGGAGGGCTGGGATAACAACCCATTTCAACTCCCATTAACATGAAAACACCTTTTTCTTCCCTATTTTATCCTTCCAAATACTTGACAGCAGTTACTGGTTTAGTTTCAGTTACAGAGATACCTGAGCTACTATACTTTTGGCTTTCTTTGAAGTTGTGTATTCAGAAAAGGAACAGGTTCAGAGGTGGATGGGAAACCCACGAAGCACAGAGCCTTTCCAGATCCTGCTGTCTGCCTTGGCAGGACATGAAATGAATGTTTGCTTCCCCACCGTGGCTCATGTTTTGAAGCTCCATCTCTCACACCAGTCTCTGGCCAGCATGACAATACACTTTAAGCCTATCTCAGTGAAAGCTCCAGGAAAGGAGACAAATTTCCCTCCTCCTCCTCATTCAGTCTCTTTTAAGGAGTAAACAGCACATCTCCAGCAATTTTTCCTACTTCATCAGCTTTTGAGGTTTCCTACTCCTTAAAGGCCCTGTGGCACTGCTCCATTTGCTTCTTGGTGCCCATGCTGCTCTCAAGCAGCTGAACAGTGACAATAAAACCAGAGCCAGCTCGGCAGCATCTCCCCACTGTGCCTTGTCTTAGCTACTCTTCACGCAAGAGTGGAGCCCCTTGGAGACTTAGCTGTATCTATTTGCACATGGGCATTGTTATCTCAAGAGTCTGGCAACAACTTGCCTTTCTAAAAATTTAAATACAAGCAACTCCAAATCTGGTTAAGTAAAAGACAATATTTTTCAAGCACTCATTTATATCTGAAGTGCTCCAGGAGATCACAGCCAGGAGTTTGGCTGTTTTAATTCACAATGCAATGCAATAAGACCCCAAGATCCATGAAATAATAATTTCAGCAAAATTCCAGCATCACAGACTACACCATGTGCCACACTGGAGACTCTCAAACACCAGAAAAGGCATCATTTCTTTTAGAAAATACACTGTTGTGTAATAGGCAAACACATATGCGTAGCCCTGAGAAGCAACAACACAATAATTTCACTTTATTGTGCTCTGTGAAGTTTCTCTCAGTCTGCAGGGAGGGAGCTCACCTAACAAAGTACAACTTACTTTTCTCCTGCTGGAGTGTTTTCAGGGACAAACACACTGTAGGACATGTTAGTGAACTGCGGAGGTCGGGAGCCTGCCAGGATGGAAATGGAAGCGTAAGGGCTTTTGTTGCCGTACTCATCAGTGGCTTCCACAGTAACCACGTACTCCTTGTTCCACGTCAAAGGCAAGCCAGTCGTCATGATAATGCCAGTATCCTTATCTACGCGGAATCGCTCTTCACCACCTATCAATATATGCACAAAGCTGGTCCGAAAAATGCCCCACAGCAAGAATGTTTGCATCTTCACTATTTTAAGGTAAGCTATCCTTAAATCATCTACCTATGTCCTTGCATGCACTTCTCTTTTCCTCTCAAGTTGTGCACCTTATCTTTCACTCACACATGCAATGCAGCGTAAGAGACAATAACGGACGAGAAATGGAGCCTTAAGCTAACGGTAAGGCTGCAATCAATTTCAAAATAGAAGTGAAGCAAAGAAAGTGGCAGCAAGAAAGATTACCATCCACATAACTGTTTTACTTAAAGCACCTCCAGCTTCTACTTGCTGTACCTGCTGTATCTTTAAGGACTCCCCAAGGGAAAAGCTATCAATGAAATGATAAAATGGGAAATTGTTATGGAAAATCTGCAACCTAACAGAAATTTACCGTTTTGGTTTGTTTTTTTTTTTTTTTTTCAGAACAGACCTACCTGCAATGAGCGTGTAAGTTATCCCAGCGCTGGTGTTTTCATTGTTATTGTAGTACACGACAAGCTGGTAGATGAGAGCGCCTTTTCGGGCATCTGGATCGACACGTGCCAGGTAGGGGTATGGGTACATACCCCAGGACAGAAGTTCCTCTTCTGGGGCAAGAAGCGTCACGTGGCAGAGGTACCAGTCGTTATCTGCAAAAGATGCACAGATTTCTAGACAGCTTGTTCACAAACTTTAGTTGGGGGAGTTTTAAGGTCTTATCCATTAGCACCTGTAAACATCCGAATTGCCCATCACATTCATCCTATCACACGCACAAAAAATTCAGTACCGATATGAACTTTGGCAGCTCAATGTGCATTAAGTACAGTTAACAACTAATTAAATATACTTTCAAGAATAGCTTTTAGATACGCACATTAAATACTATGTCAGTCACACCACTTGCCATGACACAGTTTTAAGTGTGTACTTATCCAGACTTGAGTGAAATTTGGTCTTTTTATTTTCAACAAATTTAGCATAAATGTTGCCGGTTTTACTAAATCAGGTTTTGGGCTTATTAAAAAAGTTTCTCTTAAAAATCAGTGGAAGTGGTAAGCAACCAAAACTCTCTAAAATTCTTCCCGCTCCAACACTGATTTGTTTAGTTTTCCTAGACCAATGGACATTCAAGGAAAGGCAGACATGCCTTCCCTTTCTGCCCCCAGCATCCCATTTGGTTGTATCTGAATGAAACACCAGCTTTGAAATCGAACCTCTCCAGGGCAAAGCCTTGGGCTTTGCTTCTGCAGGGAGAGGCAAGAGAACGGGCAGGTGAGCCAGTAGTGGCACCCAGTGCCAGGGAGAGAGAAAGCACTCTGCATTGGCAGGTGAAACTCAGCACAAATTGCTCTCTACTGGGCATGGAAGATCTGGGGTTGGCAGCAAGCACCTCTACCTGAAACCCTGGAGAAAAATGGCACATACGTTGACTGTACCCGTACTGCTTTTGTGGCTAAGGAGTGACTTCCAATACCCAAAATAATGGGTGCGGATGATTGCACCTGCCCAACTTTGGACTGCCAGACTTGGCAGCAGCCTGAAAGGACCCACACCACTGTCTGACCTAGATCCCCTCTGATCTCTGACAGGTAGCATGGCCTGAGGGCACTCAGGTATCAGGGTTGACCATCAGTGGGACAACTCCTGAGATCATGCCAGATGTGCTCCCAGGGTGGCTGTGCCACTGCTAGTGCCAGCCCAAGAAAAGGGGTGAACCCCAGACATGCCAAAGGGCTGTCCACAGAGAAGAAAGAGAAGGAAACTTCTACTGCAAAGAATTTGTAATGATTTAATCACAGTATTTGTACTTCTTGAGAGATCTAAATTCAAGCCTTTTGAACTCACAGCAACTTGCTAACACATGCTAAAGGTACATATGAGCTTCTTGAAGAAATTTTCCTAAGCATATCTGTGTTCCAGAGGTGGCCTTGAGATTTGACTTCAAATCAAAATAAATATATTAGCGAATATAAAAAGTAAGTTCAAATTAAAAAAAAAAAAAAAAAAGAAACTAAGCATAGAAAGGGGAGGAAGTGGAAAAGTACATATGAGAAATGCACGCTGTCTGCCCAATAAAATATGATTGCATACTTGAACAAACTGCACTGAGGTTGCAGGTCTGTTAAGGGCTACACCACTATCAAAAACCCCACCCACCCGGGTGTACGTATGTCTCATACAGGAAACCCTTGATCTCTGCCTGCAGGAAGGCCACATTCCACAAAGGATGGAAGAGGACAGCAGCATGTAGACAAAACCAGCACAAAAGGAAAGTAGTAAGATAGAAATTCGAAACAAATTTTAACTGTAAACCTCATGGATCCCATACTAAACAAAAGACTGCCCACAAATAGAGGCATCTGCTGACACACAAGACCTGTATTTACGAGCAGCCATAGCCCACAGTAAAAATACATGCTGGACAGATTTACCACAAGTAATCATTCCCAGGAGCGAAGACTTCACTGAAGTTGTGTGGGTTTTTTAAAGTATTGAAAAAAATTTAAGACACGGTTTCTTTAGCTAGAGGAAATTCTTAGATTACACGGTTTTCTGGTTTTCTGCTGTACCAACATCACATATGTGCATATTTGTTAAACACATTCTTCGAAGAATTATTTTCTCCGTATGGCTCAGCGTAACACAAGGCACAACCCTCAGCACAGGCTAGTGGCTCACAAGAGCAGCTGCAGTGGTCAGTATTTTATCCATAGCAAGGAGGGAGGGCTGAGAAACACATGTCTTATTAACACAACTATACAGGGTCAAGTAACAGAATGAAAACTTGTAGACACGAGGCATTTAAAAATACTTTTGTTCATTCATTTTTCTAATTCAGGCAGCTCTAATTTTTGCAGAGATGAATATCTAGTTGAGCATTTTTCCCATTTAGTGAAACCTAGAAAATGATTTCAAAGAATTATAATTATACAGCTTACTCCTTAATATTGTCATATGTAGGTGATCCAAGTGTTAAATATCAGTCAATAATGAAGTCGTAGTCCTGCTGTAAGAATTGTAAAAACCACCACCACATCAAAATGTCAGCCCTAAACCAGAGTTTTATGCTTTAAAAAAGACAAACAAGTGAATAAATTTCACTGAGTTTAGGACACCATGGCAGGGCAAATATTCATGTTGTCCAAATTAACGATAATTTTCTTGACTTTCACAAAAACTTCACATCCCCCTTCTCTGAAATGTGTATTTAAATAGACTCATAAAATCATAGAATCATTTAGGTTGGAAAAGACCCTTAAGATCATTGAGTCCAACCATTAACCTAGCTCTGCCAAGTCCACCACTAAACCATGCACCTCGGTGCCATGCCTACACATCTTTTAAATACCTCCAGGGACAGTGACTCCACCACTTCCCTGGGCAGCCTGTTCCAGTGCTTGACAAC